TAATTATTAAGCTATATTATCATTATAAATAATTATAAAGTTTCATATTGGAAGAACTAAAATGTTGACATCTTGATGGACTCTTCAGGCAAAGTGTGGGAATATCACTCTTACACACAAATGCTGTGAGACAAATTAAGAAATATTGCACTGATGTTGTAATTCTGCCTACCAGATGGATATTTTGAGACTGATGAGTTTTATTTCTAGATTTGATTGCACTGTTTTTGTTTTTACTGATCTTTTAATCATGTTGATTTATTATTCCAAAGTTGTGAATGTTTTTGTTTAATATTTTCAGTCACCAGCATCAACAATTTTTTTGTCTGTTGTGATTGCAATTATTACTTATGTTTATGCACATGTTTTTAATTGTATTTTATCTTTATTATATGTTGGAAGCCGCCTAGAGTGGACTTATAGTCCAGATAGGCGGGATATAAATTCAATAAATAAATAAATAAATAAATAAAGTTGTACGCTTTATAAACTATATCTTGTAGCGACAATATTTCAGTTATTTGTGGACAAAAAAAGCCTTCTGGTACTTGCATCTTCACAATCAGCATGGCCACATTTGGCTTGAATTCCAATGCTGTTTGACTTGAAGTAGAAAATAAAAGAGAAGGAGTTTTTGGGACACAATTCGAGTAACGCTTCAACATGTGTGCCCCTTCATGTTGAGCAAATGTTTGCTTGACACCTAAATAGGAATTTAAGATGAACGAGTAAAAAAAATTCTCCTTACCCAGAAACATATGTTGCTGTTTGTTTAGAAGCAGATGTTCTCTTGGAGGTAAACAATTTCCTATCTAATTCTGTCCTGAAATACATCCTAATTCCTGTGTTGCATGTACTGACTCAAAGTGCCCACATTTTTTTCAGAATTCCAGCAGCTATCAAAAGTAAAGCCTGAAAGAAATGTCTTGTGAAACAGCAACATATTTGTGCATGAGACCATACTGGGTAAAATCCATCCAAATTACACCAGAGTAAATCCATTGCATATTTTAGTGATGAATTAGTGTTAGTTAAGAAGATGGCATTTGCAATTACTGTTTCATACCAAGTTCTACAGGTGGTACACAGCACCGGATACAGATACTGGCTTATTAACCAGCAGCAATTCACAGCTGAGATTTATGCTAGTGGGATTCATGCCAATGGAATTATGCTTGTGGGTATACGTAATAGGCTGTTGGCCATTTTTTTTTCACTTGGCAGTTTAGTTTTCATGTGAATTTCACCGTGATCTTCATGATTGAATAGAAGCTAGAATCCATACAGTTCTGGTTAATTATTGGCATCTGGTGTGGACAAAGTACAGCCCATGAACATCATGTGGCCTTTCCTAGGGCTTCCAGTGCAGCTTCCTAATTTAAAAAAGGCATAAAATGATGGTTCTGCCCCCCCTTCCAGCTTCTGGCCAACAGTGGGGTCTTGACTTACGAACGGCCCAAGTTACGAACATTTTGACTTACGAACCGCTCTCATAGGAAAATATTGACTTGACTTACGTACTTAGATTTGAGTTACGAACTGAAAAAACCTAAAAAAAACCACGTGGGAGGCAGGGAAAGTGCAAAATTTGAACTTTCAGTTAACTGTTGGCCAGTGAAAAGGGTGCCTGTCTGCTTCCACACTCCTCCCAGCGTTTAGAGAGTGGATTGGGAGACTTCAGACTGCCTGGTACTGCCTGGACTGGATTTTCCCTGCCTTCCCTGAACCTTTCTTGACCTAAGAAAAAAAGAAACAAAATATCCCCCTCTAGTGGTTGAAGGAGGAATAGCAGCTTCCCATTAATTTCTATGGACGGAAAAGAGCAGATACGGATCAAAGGGATTTCAATGCATTCCTATGGGAAATGCAGATTTGACCTGCAAAGTTTTTGACTTGAGAACTGCCTTCCAATACGGATTAAGTTCTCAAGTCAAGCCCCCACTGTATACAATTGGTAATTCTAGATGATTTGGGGCTTTTCCGAATCTATTTAAGGCTGGAAGAAAATTTTATAAAGAAATAAATTGAGAAGTACATGAAAGGAAAGGAAAGTTCTGAAAAAAGGCCTCCCTGTATGTTAAAACAAATGCAGATGGTTGAGAATAGCCAATCACAGGTGCTAGAAATGTTTGGGACACAAATGGCCATTTTATTGTCTGTGTGTGTGTTTTTTTTTTTTTTTAAGAAATGGGGCAAAATAGCGGGGACAGGAGGGGTGCAGCTTTCTAGGCTCCTCCCTGCTCTAACTAATACAGCACACTGCCTTTTAAAAAGGAATTCCAGAGATTTATATGAGAAATACAGTATATAGGATGAGCTATCATGGCCATAGTATGCCAGTAGGTGCTGAGAGCCTGTGCCCAAACCAGCTACTGCCTAACCTTGGTAGAAGTGAAGAGTTATAACGCCCAGAAATGGGCCCTTCTGCTTTCACACTAGAAAACCGTTTCTTTACTGTAATTTTCTAACAGTACCTCTGTAGGGTCTTCTCTGTCTTGTAGAAGTTTAAAGAAAGAAAGCTATATATGTCCATAGAGAAGCAAGGGCACCAGTGTCTTCCTATTTAACAGCTTAGGCTTTGTGCACCTCTACATTTCCCCACTTCCCCTATGGTAGAGTGGGGAACCTTTTGGCTTCTAGTTCCTGTCCATATTAGCCAATCTGGCCAATGGTGAGGTATGATGGGAGTAGTAGTTCACATTAAAGACATGCTGGTCAGCTAACCATAATTCCTAAATCTTTTTCTGTGTTTATAAAGAAATAATAACTATTGCATCCAGAAGCCTAAGTAGAGTGAGAAGAAGACTTTTAGGAATGTATTCTTGAAAGTATTCGGCATCCAGAAGCCTAAGTAGAGTGAGAAGACTTCTAGGAATGTATTCTTGAAAGTATTCGTGAAGGCTTTCAAGGCTGGGATCTAATGATTGTTGTGGGTTTTTCGGGCTCTTTGGCCGTGTTCTGAAGGTTATTCTTCCTAACGTTTCACCAGTCTCTGTGGCCGGCATCTTCAGGGGACAGGAGTCAGAACAGAGCACTGACAGAGTTCTGACTCCTGTCCTCTGAAGATGCTGGCCACAGAGACTGATGAAACATTGGGAAGAAAAGCCTTAAGAACACGGCCAAACAGCCCGGAAAACCCACAACAACCACTCTTAGGAATACGTAGTAGGAAGAAGAGCACTGGCAAGGAGAAGAGGAAGAATAAAGTAGATCAATGAATAATTGCTGTCTATGAAAAAAATTGCAGTGTTTTGAAGAGATTTTACCTTTTTAAAGAAATGTTGATATTATGTTACTAGAATTGCATACAGAACTAGCAGAAAATTACGTTATCCTGTCCTGCTGCCCAGCTGACATGCAGGCAGCAAAACTATTTATCATAGTAAGGTAATGGTATGGTCTCAGGATTAATCAAGATCACTGGGTGGACAGAATTGTGTTGGAGGTTTTGGATACTGTTCCCATCATTTTAGTAAACTGGGAGAAGCTATTAAGAATCTAGAATATATTTAGTACTCTAATAAGTGCTGAAAGAAGGTTAAAACCATTTCTCTGTAACTGTTAGGACACTCTCTACTTGCTATATTTGGATGTAGACACAGGACTGAACAAAATAAAAGGTTTTGACATTATCAAGAGTAGTCACACTAATGACATGTCATAGTAACTGAATTACACCACAGTGCTGCAACAATTCATTGATTCAGCAAAATGAAATAAATTTGTCCCAGCAAAGTTAAACTGGTCAGCATTTAACCTTTTAGTGCCTCTGCGGTTCTAGGCATGAGCTTCCTGTGAGTAATACCTTTTCTGGAAATCTTTGCCTTTGACTTTAAGGAATGATACCACTTTTTCTTATGCTTAGTTATTTAAAAATGATGTGTTTAATGACGAGATTATAGTAGCACTGGCTGTGTGAGCAGAAATATCATAGATACTAGGTACTCACAGTATATCATATGAGAATCCAATGGAATATATCTGCTGGTTCCTGCTGCTTTTGCCTGAATAAGAAATTCCTCATTTCTTCAGTTCCTTTGTGTACCTTAAAAACTTGCCCAGGGGGCTGTGAAACTCTCTGAAGCAGAATTTTGGTGCTACAGAAGTGGGAGGGGAAGAAAGTTGTATATCCACTGACATTAGGCATGACAGTGGTTTCCAGGCTTTTTTGTCTTGTGACTCCTTTTACTTACTGGCCACTGTCTGCAGCTCCCCAGTATAGTAGCACTGCCTTATCAACGGGACCAATCCACATGGTTTCACTTACCCACTGTTTGAAAAAAAATTAAAAAATTAAATTAAATTAAAATTTAAAAACACATGAATACATTCCCCCAATGTGTATTACCAGATCTGGCCACTAGCTAGAACCAGAGGATATGCTATATATAGGTGGCTTAATGGAAACTCACTTGTAGCCTGACTTGTCCAAGGAAAGCAGCTTCTGTGTAAAATGGAGAAGCCACATTTTTGTGGGTGAGGGGGCAGGGAAGGCTGCCTTTGGAACAAGAGGGAAGAAACCCCAGTCCTTTGGCAAAACTGGGCCAGTGTTCCCTCTCTCCACTATACACGGACACCAGAGAAAATGCAAGCAACTGCTGTATTTTGAGTGGGGAGAGGGAAAAGGATTCCATGGTCTCCCTGGGTGGGTTTCCCAGTACCCCACAGTGCACAGTCCACAGTTTGGGAAACACTGGGGTATGGTGTTTTGCCACTAGATCTTGGCTATAATTTTCAGTTATGAAAACGTAAATTGAAATGAAGAGCAGGGATATCTGTTCCAATGGATTCAATTATCATTTGGATTTCTGTAATACTGCAGACTATTCATTCTTTTTATAAATAATTTTCAAGTGATTGTGTGTAATGCATCATTTGAATGCTTCTTTGCGTTAAAGAATGTATCCATTGTTCACACTAATGCAATCTTTAGCAGCTATAATCTAGCATATTGGAAAGCAGTACAAGACTCCTAAAAAGTTTTATGTGTATTATTGTAGGGCTCATTTGGAAGCAAGTGCAGAAAAGTGGAGTAAATTGCTGATGTCATTGGAAGAGCTTATCAAATGGCTGAATCTGAAAGATGAAGATTTAAAGAAGCAGATGCCTGTCGGTGGAGATGTACCGACTTTACAGCAACAGTATGACCACTGTAAAGTGAGTTGCTTACCTTCTTGCTATTTGATACTTTCTTTAAAATAGTCTACTTGTATCTAATAGGTTTCAAAAGTGCCCCATATATTGGGGTGTGTGTGTCACCATCAGCTAGTTGGTACTCTTTGCAGTTGGTTACCAGCATCTCAGACATGTACATAGCTTATATTACCAATAAAGCCCACATAAAAACAGCTTACCCTGCACTCAGTCCTCAGGGGGAAAAAATGTGTCTGCAAGCAATACAGCCGGTCTCCTTACAAAGAACTGTGACTTTTGTTTCTTCTGTATGCCTTGATGAGCCCAAGCCTGGGCTAGAGCCATAGGTTATTGCAGTATGCACTATCATTGGCAAATGCAAGGCTGGGAAGTTGGACAAAACTGTGTCCCCCACCCAAGAGATGGAAAGTCAGTGTCAGTAATCAAATGTTTTTACCTATATTTTATTTTTATCTGCTACTCTTTTAAAGCTAGAAGCGGGCCCACTTGAGTCAGTAGAACGTACAGAGCAGCTGGCTTCTCAAATCCCTACTGATTCATTGGGTTTACCCTTCTTGCAACTTACTACCTTAAGCAACAGGATTGCAGCCAATGTATTGGTGTTTAAAGGTAAAGGTAAAGGTTCCCCTTGACAATTTTTGTCCAGTCGTGTCCGACTCTAGGGGGCGGCGCTCATCCCGCTCTTCAAGCCATAGAGCCAGCGTTTGTCCGAAGACAATCTTTCCGTAGTCACATGGCCAGTGTGATTTAGACACGGAATGCTGTTTACCTTCCCACCGAGATGGTACCTATTTATCTACTCGCATTTGCATGCTTTCGAACCGCTAGGTTGGCGGGAGCTGGGACAAGCAACGGGCGCTCACTCCGTCGCGTGGATTCAATCTTACGACTGCTTGGTCTTCTGGCCCTGCAGCACAGGCTTCTGCGGTTTAGCCCACAGCGCCACCACGTCCTTACTGGTGTTTAATTGTAAACCAAATTCTAAAAAGTGATGTTAGCTGGAATGCAACTGTATGATGATGATTTTAAATGTGCTTTTATCATTTCTGTTAAACTGTTTGACTTGCACATTTTCATAAAAACAGTTTTTGTTAATGGAGAGAGAGAGAAAGGGAGACATAGAGTGAGTCAGAGTCCGTCTTCAGTGGTGGCTCCTCACCTGCTCTATGCAGGTACACTGCATGGGGCCATCATGACTATTTTCAAGTGCCAGACAAAAGCAGTGCTGTTTTCTCGTACAGTCATGGCCAAAAATATTGGCACCCTTGCAATTCTGTCAGAAAATGCAACCCTTCTCTCAGAAAATTGTTGCAGTTGCAAATGTTTCAGTACTCACATGTCCATTTCTTTGGTTTGCATTGGAACAACACACACAAAAAAAACAGAGAAGAAAAGTCAAATCTGATACAATCTCACACAGAAACCCAAAAATGCACTGGCCAAAATTATTGGCACCCTTAACTTAATATTTGGTTGTACCCCCTTTGGGAAAAATAACTTAATATTTGGTTGCACCCCCTTTGGGAAAAAAACTGAAAACAATCGCTTCCTGTAACTATGAATGAGTTTCTTACACCTCTCTACTGGAATTTTGGATGACTCTTCTTTTGCAGACTGCTCCAGGGCCTTCAGATTTGAAGGATGCCTCCTCTGTACTGCTGTTTTGAGATCTCTCCACAGGTGTTCTATGGGATTCAGATCTGGATTCATTGCTAGCCATG